TGATCTGTAAGGATCCAAAGATTATTGCATAAATTATAATAATACATTCTCAGCATCTCTTTCTGACTTCTGTTAGAATTGACAGGATAACAGTAGCTTGTTCTTCACTCCAGACATCCAGTTTCTTTAAGATGTCATGAACTGTGAAAAGTTCATTTGAAAGGGCTATAATGTCATCTATCAAATCAATGGTGAATCCTGTAGAGTAATCCACACCTAGCACTGACTTGTTTATCAATCCAGACCTATAATCATTAAGAGAGGTTGTCCGTAAATATCGCCTAAAGCTGGTAAAGTCCCAAAAATCAAAATCGTTCAAACTCTGCCTGATTATAAGTTGAGTGGACCTGATAATAGAAAAAAGGGTTTAAGTTTGATTGGCTAAATATTTTTGGCGAGAAGGAGGCATTTCGGTTTTCCCGCCGATCAGGCCCTTWTTTTCGACATTATTCGAGTGGTCTGAGAAAAAGTATGTTTTCAGCTTCTAATCAACAAATAATGCTCAATTCAATTTAATTTCTGTAAAATATAGATATYAATGAATATTTGGAAGCAAAATAATTTACATTTCATTAAAAGRGGAATATTTTAGCGATTTTTGAAGTTTGTGACTTGTTTTGACTAAACATTTTACCATAGGCCACTAAAATCAAAATATCGCCACTGGTACCTCGAATTAGATCATAAGAATACTTCCAGCATGTTAAGCAAGAGTAGATCTTTCGATATATGAAATAAAATTTTTGGGCCAGTCAAAATTTCAAGAGTTTGAGGAGGTTACAGAAAGGTCAAATTCGTCAAATTCGGCTTTTGACTCGAGCGGCAATATCAWAGAAATATATACGATAAAAACACTCAATGTTCAAAATGCGCCAGGTTAAATGAATCTATTCAAAATATTTCTTCTAYTATTTCTCAATGGAGGTCTTGAGCTTTCTTTGTCTCTATAACTTGCAATATTTTCGTAATTCGAGTCGAATAGTTGCACGTGAGTGAACTGATTATTTGTTTACCTTTGTCAAGTGGAAACTTCTAACTCTTCTACTCTTCCAAGAAGGTTCTCTGTGATAATCTATAAACTCATATAGCATCCTTGTACTTATTTRTCCTTGATTCTTTCCATATACACTTCCAAAATGTTTTTAAATAGCATGTCAACAGTAAATCAACAGTCCGGCTGACTGCAAACTGTTATCGATTACGTGACACACAGGAAGCCCAAGTTACTGATTGTACCATATATTTCTCTTGCTGAATGCGTTGCGCCTTGACGGGCGAGTGTTCTCCGTGTTTACTACAAGTTTTCTTAAAATATTTTTGTAAAGTATTCAATTGAAGTAATTGAACGTGATGATATTCTTGAATAAAAACTTGATGCCGTTGTAAACTAAGTTAGTCTTCCTTTCACCATAACTGTTTTTAACTGTCCGTACTATTACTGAAAACAAAATGCAAAAAACTGTTTAATACGATGTATTTTCAATATATATATGTTATTTACTGGCTGGGATGTCCGTATAGGAAAACACTGCCCGAGGTCTTGACAGTACGGAAAGAGCGCAGCGAGGGCAAATTTTTCCTATACGTACCGACCTATAGCCGGTAAATAACA